CTGTGTGCTATCCCTGCAGCTGTGGGTGGTACATGAGATAAAAGACATGTTCAGGGTCCTGTGCGCAGGGGAGTTCAGAGTGTTCCGTGGGTAAAGGGTAAAGTAAGAAACATGGCCAAAGAAATAGATAAAAGCTCTCACTTTGTTTAATTAAGCTCATTGTTGTCATCACCTATTGAGTACTTTTCAGAGTAGAAGGTCATGTTGAAACAGTTAAATAACTTTGAAATTGAAACCTAGAGCTAAGAAGGATCTAGTTATCTTGAGTTTTACTCCCATCCTTCCTCTTTTTTAAAATGGATCGAGCAGGCTATAACGATCATTCTCCTTTCTGCGGGAGGTGTGATTTTCTCTCCACGAGTTGCCAGCAATCTGGGAGTAGTTGCTATGATGCTCTCGTGCACTGGTGTGTGCTTGGCATGTCTTAACTGCACTCATCTCATTACATGGGGCATGCAGCCATTATCCAGTGTCTTCATGGGATGGTAAAAGCCACCCATGTGTTTATTAAAGAGAAGAGTTTACATGGTACCTATAAATTCTAATGTGGGACCACAATTATAGATTAAAAGGCAAAAACATGCATTCATACAGGCATCATTTGGTTAATAGGATTTTAATGTTGTGTTTCTCATACTAAAATACTGAATCAGTGATAATTGTTAACAACTAATTCACTTTACTATTGAGGAGGATACAGAGTGTACTGTCTCTTAGCCTTGAATCCTTTTAGGCCAGATTTCTTTTTCTCTTGGGATTTAACACGTGGTTTACCCCTGCTTAGCCTCTGGAATCAGTTAGCTGGATACTTTCACAGGAACCATCTTTATTTATTTATTTTTTTGCTTTTTCCTTCTCTCTGCACTTCCCTGTGGGCTATTCTTAGACCTGTGCTTTAAGAGCATCCCTTTTCTGCTAGGGACTCCTTTGGTGGTCTGAAGACTGGGTTCCTTCTTAATCTAATGTTTTTAAATGCATAAAATACAAAGGATTTTACTTAGTTAAGGAAGCCTATTGAAATAGGTATCAAAATATTTAAATAATTTGATACAGTAATGTGCTTCTTTATTAATGCATTAAGTAAGATCTAGTGGCAGGTCTAATAAGTAATGTAATTTGAAAACATTATTTCAAGATAACTACAACTGTAATGTGATATGAAAATACCTGATCGTTTACTGGTAACAGGTTTTGCTAATATCACTGTGATTTGTTGCCTATAATTAAAATGAAAGGAAATGCTAAATTAAAGGTTAGTGAAAATAAAGCTGTAAATTTTTTTCTGATCCAAATTCACAGACCTTCTGAATGCTGTCCAAGGACTCCAGTGGACCTATGTTAAGAACCTGTGCTTTAGCATGAAGTAACAGGGTTGTTCAGGTAGCTAGTTGGTTTATAAACTTGAAAAGAATCTTTCTGATATTTTTAGTGCTCCCTCTTCTCCCGCAGGTGTTAATAATACAGTTTATGGAATAGATGCTATGAACCCATCTTCAAGAGATGACTTCACAGAGTTTGGAAAGTTACTAAAAGATAAAATTACACAATATGAAAAATCACTATATTATGCCAGTTTTTTGGAAGCCTTAGTTCGAGATGTGTGTATTTCATGTAAGTAATTCAAATCTCTATCTTTGTGGGTGGATTTTAGGAAGGGCACATCATACTCAGGAGGATGCAAGTTGACAGTTTTTTTGCATTCTATAATAAATGTAGGATTTGATTTTTAGAACTACGTTACCTTGGGAATGTTCTGCAAATAGATGGTGAGTGTAAGTGGTTTTGTTTTTTGAGGCTGCCTTCTTAATGTTTTTAAAATGGCTTCCCAAAAGGGACATCTGGGCTTTGCTGACCGAGCAGTTAACAAAACACTAGTTTCTTCTTTTATCTAATTATATCTTAAAGGGACTAGGAAGTATCTTTTGGGGAAAATGATCCCTGAACATATGGAATTGTAGACCTGAGTGAGACCACAGCAAGTGTCTGTTCATTTTACAACAAGGAAGCCTGTGACTTGGTTTAAGTTGCTTAACAGAGCTGGTCCCTCTTCTCTGGGCCCGTGGGTGTGGTGCCAAGCCCTGAGAGGAGTCATACATTTCAGAGGCAGGGTGTATGGGAGTTAAAAACCAGGGGTGGAGTGGCACTAATGTGGAAGGGGACTGTTTCTGCTAGTATTTGCTGTTGTTAAGATTGAGAAAAAGGAATTCTACACAATGAACTTTAAATTGGGTGTTCCTTGAGAAATCTTTACTAAGCTGGAGGTTCTGAATTTGATTAGTGATATACCCATGGTTGGTATATTATTTGCACATACTTTTTTTCCTATTTTTGAAGGTGCTCTCTAACCAAACTGATATACTTTTTTTGGTGGCTTGTTAGTTCTCTAAGGATGGAAGGATGTGTTTTTCCGTAAACAGGCTTGTGTCTAATGGGACACTGAGGTTTCTGAGGCACCTACTGTTTTCATTCTGGTTCCTGTGGTAGAAAATGGAGACCCAAGGGGTGGAGAGTTGTCATTTGTAGTTGTAAGAATTGTCATTCCACGTTCATTCAGCCACACCTTACTGCGCATTGAGGATGTGTTGTGGAAAGGCATGGTTATCTGCCCTGTGGTTTTTTTCCCCCGCATTCACGTGTGTAGATTGAGTAAGGAAGTATGGCAGGGAGCTCTGTGAGCTCTGAAGACACTTCTTGTTTCTCTTTGGTTGAACAATGGTGCTTGGTTATTACAGGTCATTATAAAGAAATTTCAATAGTTCTGATTTGTGAGCCTAACCATAGACTGATTCTTTACCATCTTTTGTTTAACAGGACAAATTCTTAGTCTTTTCAAAGTTACTGAAGTTAATGATGGCCAAATTAGATGTGGTATTCCTTTTTTTTTTCTCTTAGTGGAAATTGATGACTTGAAAAAGATTACCAATTCACTGACTGTGCTTTGCAGTGAAAAACAAAAGCAAGAAAAGGTAAGAGCAAGCGTGCGGGGGAAATGCATATTACATGCTGATGGGGGTGTAAGCATAATAGTCTAAAGTGTAGTAGGAGCCTGAACTAGAACTTTAAACTGGAACAGAGCAGGAGCGTGAGTGCCATTATGATCCTTTTGTTTACAGACTCGTTCATAGCTTTCTTTTTGGAATTAATAGAAATTGCCCGGGGTTAGGGTCTGGGATCTCCCTTTGAGAACTAAAGCAATTTTTTGGTGCCAGAGGCTTGGGTGTCTGAGGGTTTCTGTACCGGAAAAGGTACCCATAGTAGGTAGTCTCATGAATTAATTCTCTTTTATCTTTAGCAAAGCAAAGCCAAAAAGAAGAAGAAAGGTGTGGTCCCTGGAGGGGGATTAAAGGCTACCATGAAAGACGATCTGGCAGATTATGGTGGCTATGATGGAGGATATGTACAAGACTATGAAGACTTCATGTGACATTTTCTCTTCTCCTGGTGTCTTCTTTCTGTTGCCCACAATCCCTTCAACATGTAGCACAACTTCCTTTCCTTTCAGTTCTGCCAAATGCTACAATCAGAAGTGCAGTATCTTTTGTGCTGGTTATTTAACCCCTTGACACTTAGGTGCTAATGTGCGAATGAGGGAACTTGGATCTTGCTGCCAAGGGGTTAAAATTGGGAACCTCAGTTGCTACTAAATCATAGTTTAAAAAAAACAAACCTAATAATGTTGTCATTGTTGCTATCTGATTCCATAGCAGCAGTCACTGAATTGGAAAAAAGGTTGCAACATGACAAAAATTGTGTAGTATTTACCAGCACCATTCAGTAATACAGCCTTAACCATACCTCCTTGAACTACTTCATAACTTGTCAAGAAAAGCAGTTTGCGGCAAGGGCATGTGGTGTGCACCTAGTATTAAAATTGCTTTGTCTTAAAATTGAGCGTGAGGATATTAAAAAAAAAAATACATTGTGAAGAAGACTGCTTATCTCAGAGTGAAGATACAACGGCTGAAAAGCACTAGCTTGATATTTAAAAATTAAATGACCAAAACCCTCCAACCTTGAAGCTGAAGAAGGTAAACCTCTCCATTATTGCATTGCATTACAACGTGTGGAATCTCTCGAATGCATAGACTGTCTAGTTTCTATTTATCAGACTGTTCTGCTGATGGAGTGCTTCAGATGGGGGAGGGAAGCTCTTTACCTGTTTTATTTCCCTGATTTAAGTGTCTGAGAAACAATTCTCCTTTGTTCTCCTAGGCTGCAGTGGAACAACTTTACCAGGGTTTTGGCATTTCCTTTCCTTTATAAAACATGCTCAGCAAACTGCACCAGTTGACTACAGTTTGGTAAACTGTTAACAATTATGACATCTGCAGTGTTTTATAAAGCAACTAATTTAATAAAATCACTATTGTGAGGACTTAAATTTTGTGTTAACTCCCAAGAGATACTTTTGGAGCGTACAGAGCCGAGCTCTTGGGGACAGAGTTCTCTGTATACTTATAAAGCTTAATAAATGCCTGACGAGCAGTTACAGCTTTAAGACAAAAATGATGTGCCAGGCCCTGCATAGTGTCACCCTAGAGCAACAAAGGGATAGGGCTGCCTTCCTCCTCTTATTTATTTGGGCAAATTGTTTGATTGTTTAGATACTAAGGCCTAATTTTAAGTCACTAGAAGAGCTTATTTGAGATAATTGAGCTTGTTACTCAGGTTATGGCTGTAAGTAAGCACAGATTGGGTGATCATCTTTATTATATATTTTCTTTTAAGCAAGTTAACCAAATTTGTGGTTGGAGTCTTTTTTGAAACCATCAGAGAATCAAAAGCAGGGACAGAACAAAAAATGTTTTAAATTTCTCTTAAATAGGAATTAGGAACCTCAATCAAAGCTCTGTTAGACTACTGAGTGTAAGACAGGACCATCTAAATGATTTGAGGAATTAATAGGAAGCAGTGACTACACAGCAATAATCAGAGCAAATAAAGATTGTTTTAAGGTAGACAAGGGCTAAGATTTCCTTGGCAGTAATAATGACATACAGTGAATTTAAAATCTATTTTATTATAGAGATCAGTTTCTAACAAATGGAAATGTATCATCTGTTCCTTAACTGTGTAAATAATATTAAATTCCTTTGAAACTGGAATCTGTAGGCACAGGTATTCTTTAATCAATACTGTATCTCTAAACAGAAGCCAGCCTTCAGGAAGATGGAGCTTTTGATCTTAATACCAATACCTATATAAAGTGGCATAGATGAACAAGCACTTTTAAATAATTTCCTTGTGAAAATTCTCTAATTCTTTACCCACTATTCACAAAGGACTGGTTATGGTCAGTCCCGGGGTTTTACAACTTGAAGACAAATATCCCCGACGCATTATTCTACTCTGATCGCAAACGTCTGTCGGCAGCTCATCTCAGTACAAGACAGCAGGCACCCAGGTCATCTCGGCGATACCCACCCTCCTCTCATCTGAACCCACCTAACCTGCTAGCATGTCCTTCAGACAGCAGCCAGTCTGAGGGTCCTTCAGCAGCACATTTACAATGTCATAAAATTTGTGTTCATACGCGAGCGTGTAATACAGGTAGACGTCTTCACAGTATGTGAGTAGCTTCTTCAGGTTTTTCACAGCTGTGTCTGCCGGCTGCTGCCGTTTACATCTAGACAAACGGAAGAACCTTCGGGTTAAGCTACTGTGTTTGGAGTGAGGACTGCACTCTGACACAGCTCCTCACAACGGAGAGGATCCTGGAATTTGAGAAATTATCTAAGACTAGTCTTAGGGGATACCAGGTAAGATAAACACGGAAATTATGTCATTAAAAATGTTACCTTCATGCTCGCCTTAGTTGGAATAAGGGTAGTACTCCCAAGGGGGCCCCTGAGGTTTAGGGTTGTCGGTACTTCAGGCAGGCTGAGTAGCTGTCCTCCCGTTTTAAATACAGAGCACTGGGAGGACACTGTTCTCATTCATCTGTCTGCCTAAATTTGTTAAACGATCTCTTGCTTCTGGGGATTCTTGACGTCTGCCATCTCAAGCAGAGGCAGCTACAGGCATGTTCTGTTTAGCCATAAAATTCTTACCCATACCTTATCAAAGCAGAGGCATTTTAATACTTACTTTGTGGAAATCTCTTCAAATATACTAGATCTTAATAACCTTTGCTGCTTAAATTCTTCCAGGTAATTAAAGTCTCCTTTAAGAATCACTTGTTGGTAGAGGATTTCTGCCCAATCAGGAACAAAGTCATAGGCCTCGGCCACAATAGAAGCCTTAAAAGGAATAGAGGGGAAGATTCCATTTAGCCCTATTTGATGTAAAGGTAAAGGCAAGCTGTTCTAGAAAACAACTTAATACTGTACATTCATAGTGAATGTGGGCATCAACTATGTTGAAAGGCTCTACGTATTAGGGTTGGGGAAAAGTTTGGTGTTAGTTTGACATCTCTCTGCCCTTAAACCCCAGACATCTTGCAGTGTTTTTAATCTTCACAATGCATTAATAAAAACTGCTGAGAAACAATATTTTTCCCACTAACTCAGCTGTGTAATGAACAGGGAAAGGGTTGATTCCCTGGTAACCATTTCTTCAAGGGCTCAGAGCCAGCCTCCCAGAAGCCCTGACTCCCTCTGCTAACCCAGGTGCACCATCCTAGAAACACCGGGGCTAGGAGATGCTCAGCCCTCCGGCAGGTCCGCCCATCCAGCCCCAGCTGTGTAAGGGGCAAGTCTGTGGCCTCGCAGCACGAGGAACGGAGACCGCACCGCCTCACCATTTTCCAGCCTCTGTCCAAACAATATGCTCACAGATACTGCCATGGAAGACAGTTTGGTTTCTCAGCTCAAGTTAAGCTTAGAATTTTCCTGGTTCTGTCACTAGCCTTGACACCTTAGGCAAGTCGCTCGACCATTGGGCCCCATGAGCGGGACAGCAGGAGAGAGGATGCTGGCTAGATTTCCTTACTTGCTTACCTGGTAGAAGCGAGGTAGAGCGATGAGACAGTCCATCAGCTGGTGGCGGCCCAGGTTGATGAGCATCGTGTTCTGGCCCGTGTTCAGAAAGTGAATCTGCAGTGTTATCAACTTGGTGAGCCGGTGACAGTGCAGGGCCTGTCGCACACAGGAGTCCTGAGGGACAAGGGTAGAGGAGGCACAGGTAGAAAGACTGTTGCCACCTCCCCTGTGAACCTTCCAGCAACTGAACTCACCCCTTCTGCCCTGAGTTGGCCCCTTCACTTGGAAGAGCCCAGGGACAAAATCAGATCGCACCACAGACCCCAAGCCCTAAGGCCGGGCTGAAGTAGGGCTCTGCTGTTACCTTGGCGTAACTTTCCGCCGCATCCAGCATCAGAGTCAGGGCTTTCAGCAGCAGCTGCTTCAGGTGGTGCCCGTCCTTGAGGCTGTCCTCTGTAGGAGAGAAAAGGAAACCTGATGGATGTGTGACTCCCGCGGCTGCTCCCATCCCACTCAGTGATGGCAGGCTGGACCGGAAACAACCCCGCTCACACATGGAGGCAGGCACGTCTCAGGTAAAGGCTATCGGGCCTGAAGCGCACACACTCTGGTAGGCCTCCTCTAGTTCTCAGAAACATCAAGGCAGGCTGGCCCGGCCTCAGCAGACACACTGCTTCCCGACGGATGACACCGCAGGCACACGGACTGCAAACGGGGCAGGTGCCTTCCACAAGCCCTTCACATGCCCTTCCACATGCCCTTCCACATGCGTCTGCTCAGCTGGGGCCCCACGGAGTGGCTGTTAGCAGCTGAAGTGGACAGTATTTAGTCTCCTGGGCTCTCGCCCTTCTTAGCCCTAAGAACCTTGGCTGGCTGGTGGCACTGGCCCGGGGGACGCTGCTGTGACCTGTGCTCACCCCAGGGCTGGGACTCGATCAATTTCAGTTGGATGCAGGCAGCTGCCTCGTGGTTCTCCCCGATCTCCCGACACATGCTGAAGCACAGAGCAATCATGTTGTGCTTCTCGCTGTCCCCGGGGCGGCAACGTTTGATGTAGTCCAGGAGGGCCGTCTTCAGGGTGCCGCTCTGCCCAGGAAAAAAGGGGGTACCGAGGTCAACCGGTGACTGCAAGGCAGGCGTGACTGGCTGAGTCCCTTGGTTCAGAAAGTTTCTTAGAAACTCCCCCCCAAAAGAAAACCAAAAATGAATACAGAAGTTGATGCTGCCCTGAGTGTAAGAAAACAGGCACATCCTCTCTGCTGGTGTGAATGTGAATGGTAAAACCAGTCAGAAGGGAGAACTGAAAAGATGAGCACATGTGCCTTACTCTAGCAATTCCATGTCTAGGAATCGATCCCTTAAGAAATAAGCAGAAGTGCTGAGATGCACATAACAAAGATAAATTTTAATAGCAAACAATTAGAAATAATCCAGATGTCCAAAACAAGGGCTAAGAGCATACCATGTAGCCATTAAAACCAGTGTTGATTTGGAAGATATTCATGACATGCTTATTAAGTGGCTCTTTCATATCTACACAGCATGATGAAAGTTTTGCTAAAACTGTGTAAAAATGTATGTATCTATGTTTGTGGGTGCCTGTGCATAGAAAGGGCCTATACCAAATTGTTAGCAGTGGCTGTCTCCAGATGGTCAATAGACAACAGAGGGCTATTTTTCTGGGGCGTGCTGTTTTCCAAGTGTCTTTACGCTGAATATGCATTACTTTTGTAATCAGAAAGAGAGTTATTAAAAGAATATTTACATGCAGAAACAAAAATGCCTCAAAAACGATCTTAAAAACCTGGGGTATCTTGAAGGTGTACCTAGGTCCAGGACTCGCTCCTCTCCTGACAGTGGGACTGGTTTGTCCTGAAACTAGCCCAGCACTGGGGAGAGTTTTTCCGCTTTGTCTCTTTAGTCCTGCTGGGCTGAGCTCAAGTTCCCAGAAGCCAAAAATGTGCCTCGGTTTTTAAATCTTCAGAGGTACAATAGGCTGAAGCAACGAATTGGCCAAATGAATGACTTGGAAACAGAGGCTCTAAATGACATGCCTGGTGTCACACAGCATGCTGAAGACAGACAGAGCCTGAAGGCCGGGCAAGTCTGGTCTTTGCTCCCAAGCCTCTTTTGCTTCTGACCCTCCTATGGGTCATCACCATAAATCGCTCCACAGCCTTCCAGGCCCAGGCCTTGGCATTCACTCCCTAAGGCTTTCTCATGGTCCCCTGAAAACTCTCCACTTCTTTTTTTTTTTTTTAAAGATTTTATTTATTTATTCGTGAGAGACAGAGCAAGAGAGAAAGGCAGAGGGAGAAGCAGGCTCCCAAGGAGCAGGGAGCCTGATGTGGGACTCGATCCCAGGACCCCGAGACCATGACCTGAGCCGAAGGCAGACGCTTAACCATCTGAGCCACCCAGGCGCCCAAAACTCTCCACTTCTGAGCTGCTTAATCCACTTCCACTGAGCTCACGGAAAGGGTTCTTGCCCCGCCAGAGCCGGCATTCAGACAGGTGACGGAGGCTGAGGTGCAGGCGCACTGACTCCCTTTGTTCCTCACTGAACGGCTGTCAGCATATTCGCTAGCTGTCTGAAGCCAACCTGAAGCTACGGCTTCCAGGGCGTGTCCTAGGGAGTTCTTTAATTCCCTCCCTCCATATCCGGGGCTCCACCCTGATTAGGATGATTCCGGAGAAGTCTGAGACTCCTAAATGTCCCTAGTATGTGCCATCCTGGAGCTCAAAATACCATACACCTACCGGATCCAACTTCTTCCTCATCAGCACTTCAAAGTAGTGCTTTTTATGCAGCAAGTCAAATATGTAGGTCATCTCGTTGTACCTTCCCATGCCAGTGAGGAGACGCACCTGAAAGGGCAAGGGCCGCCTGCGTCAGCCTCAGCTGGAGTTCTCTGAGCCAGCCCGCCACTACCCTCCTGTTTGGTTGCTTCCAGATGCCAAGCTCCAGGGGGCAGAAGGGCTAATGCCAGGCTGCCATTCTTCACTCCCTCGCTCCCTTCCCATGGACCCAACAGGGGGCCTCCTCCTCTGGAGGATTCAGAAAGGCTCGTCACTGGGACACCAGGGGCTGTTGCCACCTCTGTCGTGTGTAAACATGACTGTAAGTGCCAACGCGCCATCGGTGCCCAGGGGCTTGCTCAGCCACCAGGGGCATGAGTCGTCAGCTCATTTCAATTCAGAGATCACACTGAACCTTGTTTCGGGGGGAAATACAGCTGACTTAGCCCTCTAGGAAAACGAACTGCCCTGGCAAGCGGGTAGGCCAGCCCTGGAGCGTGGCAGTGTTGATTTGGAAGATATTCATGACATGCTTATTAAGTAGCTCTTTCATATCTACACAGCATGATAAAAGTTTTGCTAAAACTGGAGCGATTTGCTAAATCCTCTGGAGCGATCTCTGATTTTGACAGCAGTCATAACCTGGAGCAGAGGGTTGAGCTGCCCACCCAAGTAGAGAGTGGTATCCAGATGGGCAAATTCCCTAAGACCTCACCAGCTCTGAACTGGCTGCCAGCCTATCTGTTCTCTCAGAACCTTCCTCAGAAAGGAGGGTAGGGGGTCAGGGGCTTACATACCATCAGCCCGTACTCTTCATTGGGGGCCAAGTGTTTGTCCGTGAGCAGCCGGGCAGCTTGCAGGACCCGGATGATGCCCTCCATGTGGCATGTCAGTGTGAAGCAGTGATGGGCCAGGATCAGCAGCTCCGTGGCTGGGGAGGTGAGGCGGTGGTAAGACAGGATTGTGAACCTGGGCAGGAGGGGGAAGGGGCCTATACAGACAGCCTGTCTGGAGAAGGCCCCCCCACCAGTCCTCTGAGATCCTTGACCTCACTGGCTTTGGAGTAGAATTTGGCAATATACACATACAACTTTAAAAATGGGTATACTCTTAAATCAAATTTATCTTAGGGACATAATCACGGATGGGCATATAAACTCGCCTGTAAGGATGTTTGTCACAGTGTTTGAAACAGGAGAAAATTGGAAGCCATCTTAAGGTCCCAAATTAGGGTATAAAAATTTTTAATTCTATGAGAAATACTGTGTAACCACTAAGAAGGATATATAAAAGAATACTGTCATGGAAAGATGTTAATGACAGCATGTTCATAAAGTAATTATAAACAGTATACACAGGATAATGCCATTTTTGAAAAACTGAAGCCTACAGACTTGCATAGGAGAAGATCAGAGGGACACATACTCCCGAATGCCTAGAATGAACTAGATATTGTGGAAAGCTAGCAGGCTTTGAAGTCACAGAGTCTGGGTTCCAGGAACTCCTCCGCCACATGACAGCTACAAGTTAATCAACTTCTCTGAGCTTCAGTTTCCTCCTAAAATGGGGATGGTGATCGCCACTTTGTAGGGTGAGGGAAGAAGCAGCAGCAGCTAACCGCTGCACGTTACCAGGTGTCTTTTTGTGCGATTCTACAGTCACGGCTGCTTTTCCACCGTTGTTTTCTACATTTTCTTCAATGAACTGCTGGCTCTCTACCAGGAACTTATTAACCATGGTGGAGGGGCAGGGATCCAGAGCAGGAACAAGGATCCAAACGGAGTTTTGGAAAGGCTAACGCCAGGAGACTTCTTGGAGACCTCCGTGGGCCCCAAGCACGTAAGAAAATGGCCAAGAACTTACTGCAAGACAGTTCCCCATGGGGAACGGAGGAAATCTTGTCCAACAACTTCATGCCCACCAATGTGCGGTCTTGACACAGCGTGGTCAGCTGAAGAAATGTCTGGCTTTCCTCTGCTGGGGTGAACATCTGCTTCTGTCCTGTACGTAGAGAAAGATGGGGAGAAAGGTGCGGCTTTAACCTTGCGAGCTGAGAGCAAGGTTAGAGTCCCCGACCGGGAGGCCCACTCTGCCCAGGCCTGGGCACCGGAAGGGGATGCCGAGGGAGCCGCCGGGGCAGCTCCCTGCTCTGCTGAGCTCACGTTCCTTGGCCTAGTGTCACCTCACAGGTCGGCAGGGGTTCACCAGCTCAGAGAAAGGCCCGGCTGCTCTAAGCATAATCGTAAAACAATAAACGAAAAGCAACAACGACAACGCCACGTGTTCTCCCGACAAGTGCAACCTGGCAAGGCCAGAGGGCAGCGTGCAGGAGGCACAGGAGCGTAACCCCCCACTCCTTACTGCTGGGACCTTGAGAATGTGGCCTGAGAGGCTGGGGAGGCCGGCCGGGTAGGGCACCTGTTCCCTCCGATGGAGTCAGCAGCTCCCGGGTCACCTCTTCAGCCACAAGTTCAGCCACCGTGTCTGGCTCGAGGCCCTGGGTGCTGAGGAAAGCCTGGGCGCGCTTGCATCTGTCAGGCCACTGAGAGGCCAAAACCGCCCGGAGCACGGCCTCGCCGTCCTGAGCGGCCACGTCTGTGTAGGGACAGCCCAGCTCCTGAGAGGAAAGCAAAGTCGGCCAAAGCTCCTGGAAGGAGCCCGGAAAAAAGCCAGCAAAAGGCAGCCCTTTCTGAAATCCCACGTGGACTGACGGACTCCTCTGTTTGCTGAGCTTAAAGATCCCTCACCCCGAGCAGGAACCTTAGAAGCAGCAAGCACCATTTTCTAGTCCGTCCTTTCACTTCACCAATGAGCTGAAGCCAAGCAAGAGAAAGGCTTGTCTTCACGAACCATCAGGTGACTTAACATCTTGTTGAACACTGAGCTTTTTAAATGTTATGAAATGTAAGAAAGTTGGATAAAAAGGCAAGAGCCCCTCCTATACCGTTCCCATGGCCGCAGCAAAACCCTCCATCTCCAGAGAAGCCCTTCCAAAGGGCCTTAGTGCTTGGCATTATTTCTCTTGTGCTCTTCTGCTTCTTAGAGTCTATTATTTTTGCCCCTCAATCAGCATGAAGTCACAAACAATTCTTGGCTGCTCTGGTTCCTGTCTTTATAGTCCTCACGTTCCATTTTATTTTATTTTACAACTTATTTTGGGCTCTCCCTCATAGAAGTCCCCCAACAATCCTGCAGCTAACTAAGCTATCAGGGCCAGAAGGGACCGCATCATGTATAGAGGGAGAACCAGGAACCCGGAGGTGTGAAATGTCTTGCCCTCGCTTCTGGCTGGCTGGGCCACAGCCAGGACTCAAAAGGCCCGACACCTGGCCTGGCATCCTCCCCAGTATTCCCAGGGATGCATTTACAGGGGCCAACGTCCCGATGAGTGATCTGCTCCCACATCATGATTATCATGTGAAGGGCCAACTTGGCAGAATCCAAAATCTACCTCCAACTTCCTGCTCCAGCTCCCCCACTAGCTCCCCCGCGGACCCCACCCTTGGGCACGTACCTTGGCAAGTTCATACAGACACAGGACCTGCCGGCAGTAGCTCTTCCCATGAAGGCATTTGCTTGTCAGAGTTTCCAGATTAGTCACCACTTCATCACAGGGGGGCAGCATCACAAACGTTTGACTATCCAAACTTGAAGCTAGAAGCAGATACAGGTCTGAGGGGGGCTTTGAGCTGGCAAGTAGAGGCCTCTCCCCAGCCCCCTATGACACTAGCTCTCTGCTCACAGCTTCCTCCATTGCACCCCCACGACTCCCCCCTGGATCTGGGCCCACTTCTGACCGGGCCCACACCCCACTTCAACTTATTTCATCGCCGTCTTCCAGGAAATTCCAGCTACTTCAGAGGCCTCATAGGCTACAGAAGACTCCAAGCCACCTAATGAACACTCTAGATCATCACCAAAGATGTCTGCTAAACTCTCTTCCACACACCCTTCCCCTTTCTTATGTTATCACATGAGTCACCAGGTCTAGCTGTGTCTCCGAAACACGTCCCTGGTCACGGCCTCCATTACAGTGTTCATGACCCTGCATGTGAGAGGCTGCGGCCGGCCCTCCCCTCTCTCCATGTCAATCTCCCACAGACTCAGGAGAATCTTTCCAAAATGCCAATCACAAAAACCAAGGCTCATCTGGATAGAGGCCTGAAAGGCATGATAAAAAAAATTAAAATCCATTCCTGATTTTAAAAAAGAAAACAGGGGCGCCTGGGTGGCTCAGTCATTCAGCATCTGCCTTCGGCTCAGGTCATGATCCCAGGGTCCTGGGATCGAGCCCCGCATCGGGCTCCCTGCCTGGCGGGAAGCCTGCTTCTCCCTCACCCACTCCCCCTGTTTGCGTTCCCTCTCTAGCTGTCTCTCTCTGCCAAATAAATAAATAAAATCTTTAAAAAAATAAAAAAGCTCTCAGCTGAAAACAGAAGAAAATGGTCTTAATTTGAGAAAGGGTTTCTATTAGGGAAAAAAATGTAGAAAAGAGTCACACTGTTCCTAATAACAAAACAAAATTGAAGAATTTAAGTATGTATCAATAAAGTACTGTTAAGTAATAAAATTTTAATTTGAGTAAAATTATAATTTAAGTGTGTATCAATACAGCATTAAATAGTACATCCATACAGAATACTCTGCAGCCATTAAAAAGAATGAGGTCAATATATGTGTACTGACAGGAAAAAATGTAGAATAATGATATAACTTCATTTTTGTAAAAAATAAAAGGGGTGTATGTGCACATGTACATGTGTAAACCCACACAGAGAAAGTGACATGTACCAAGCACGTAAAAGACGTTATTCGGGGGAACGTGGTGGGGGTGGTGTTGACTGGGTAGATGACTTTCACCTTGAACTTTATGCACTCCTGTACTGTGATCTGTTACACTAAGCATGTAATACTTTTGCATTTAAGATATTACACATTAAAAAATATGCTTTAAAGACCAAAAAGTAAATAGCAACTCAGACCGTGTAATTCCCTGCTTAAAATCCTTCATTGGGGTTCCAGTTCTAGGGCAGGGAGAAGTAGCTCACTACCCCATTCACTGCTCACCCACTGGACTCAGGGGAAAACCCGGCACACAGCAGACAGCACTAAATGACACAGATTATCATCTTTTCCCCTCTAGTAACCTCTAGCCTGAATGCAATGCTGCCTGAAACCCAAAACCAAGCACTAAGACTGACAGAGAGCACGCACTCCAGGAGCAGGAAAGGGAGCTCCTGATGCCCTTTCTCTCTCATCTCAGCTCCTAAGCAGCGCCCAGACTGCGGTGGGAGGGGCCGAGGCAGCAGCTAGTAAGATCCCAAACTCAGAGCGGAACCTTATTTTTAGATTCGAGGTGTTCTGGTCCCAAGACAATGCAGTGAGTCCTTGTTTCCTTTCGCATTATCCTCCTGTCTGCTGGCCCACGATGCGGGCGTGGTCAGGGACGTGCTGACAGAATGGGGGAGCTAGGACTCCAACTTTGTGCCAGAAGATTGAAAAGGGAAGCCTCAGGGAACCAGAAAATACTTGGGAGAGAGAGTCAGAAAGCCACGCTATAAAGTTGTTTATAAACTCTAGGGCTCACTCCCAGGCTTTGCATATGGAAATCTGCTCCTAGTCAGCGTAGCAAGACCCCGAGCACCTAATTCACAGCCTCCTACCGGGCTGCAGACTGATCTCAGGCTGTTGCATACACACACCTCGGAGCTGAATGGCACCACAAAGGCTTTGAAATCCGAACTGATAATAGAACCACAGTCTACAGAGAGTGGGTTGGAACCTGTAGCCCACACCTAACCAGGTCAACTGCCTGCTGAAAAAATAAAAAAAAACACCATTCCTCATAAGATTTAAACAAGACCCAGAGTCTCATAACATACTAATCAAAATGTCCAGGATGCAACTCAAAATTACTCAGCATACAAAAATGCAGGAAAATCTCAATTCACAGGAGAAAAAACAATCAACAGATGACACCTAGTACTAAAATGACGTTAACTGGGGCGCCTGGGTGGCTCAGTTGGTTGGGCGACTGCCTTCGGCTCAGGTCATGATCCCGGAATCCCTGGATCGAGTCCCGCGTCGGGCTCCCTGCTCGGCAGGGAGTCTGCTTCTCCCTCTGACCCTCCCCCCTCTCATGTGCTCTCTCTCATTCTCTCTCAAATAAATAAA